AACCCGAGTTCATCCTCGGTCAGGATGTTCTCAAGTCGCTGGGGATCGACATCGACCAACAATTAGAGCAACTCGCAGGACGAGGTGAAGGTGAAGACGAAGGTGAAGAAGATCTACAAGACGACCTACCGTCCATCTCGCTGAGCTCAACTGACAAAGACCTTCAAGATGCTTTTGAGCGGATAATTTCCTCAGCATTCGAGCAGGGATTCCCGAGCCACCTCGAGCAGCAGCTCCGGGCTATTGTGTTCAAACACGACATATGGCGTTTAGAGCTAGGCAACGATCCTCCTGCCAATGTCGAGGCACTACGGATCCGACTCAAGGATGGAGCACGTGCTGTCAAGAGCAAGCCGCGGCCTTACCCACCAGCGGTACGTGCGTTCTTGCACTAGTTTAACGAGAAACTTGTAGAACTTGGGTGGGTGTATGAAAACCCAGGCAAGCGCTGGGCTAGTCCAGTACTCCCTGTGCGCAAGCAAGGCGTGACCGGCGATGAGTACAGACAGACATGCGACTACCGTCTAGTGAACGACCTCACCGAGGCACTCATTAGCACGATGCCCCATATGGCAACACTACTCGAGCACACTCAAGGCAAGAAACACTTCGGTTTGTTTGACCTATTGAAGGGATTCTGGCAGCTACCTCTAGAGGAATATAGCCAAGAATTCCTGTCGTACATAACTGACAACAAAATATACACTCCTCGTCGAGTTCCTCAGGGATGTTGTGATACCGCAGTGCATTTTCAGCATACGATGGAGCAGTGCATTCAGTCGCTATTGTACCATTGCTTAGTTGTTTGGATCGATGATCTACTTCTATTTGCTGACGACGTGGACACATACGTTACGAGGGTAGAGGAGTTCTTCGATTTGATTGCGGCTTTTGGGCTCAAGCTCAGTGCCAAAAAGAGCAGTATCTACCAACAATCGGTAAAGTGGTGTGGGCGTATCATCACATCTGATGGTATCACTCACGACCCAGCACGCATCGATGCTTTACGTAGCATGCCATATCCGACGACCGCAGGCCAACTACAGCAATTCTTATGTGCTGCCAATTGGATGCGCGAGTCGATGGCGGACTACGCTCGAACTGCTGACCCGCTGCAAAAGCGACTTGATGCCGCGCTCAAAGACAGCAAGCGCACGAAACGTGTTGCAGCCGGTATATCTATCGAGTTGACGGACACTGAGCGTACTGCATACGACAAGATGAAGCAACTGCTCTCCACTTCAGCTACACTAGCACTACCCGACGACGACGCTACTACTGTCGTTTGCTCAGATGCATCCGATTGTGGTTGGTCGGTCATTATCACCCAGGTGAAGGACTTCGATCCTCGGAAACCAGTTACTACGCAGCAACACAAATTGCTCACGTGCCTCAGTGGTACGTTCAAAGGCTCACAGCTTAACTCGACTGTGATTGAAAAGGAAGCATACCCCATTGTAGTAGCATGTGATAAACTTGACTACCTACTAATGCGGGTGTGACCATTCCGTCTCTACTGCGACCATCGTAACTTAATCCACGTCTTCGCTCCACATACGAATATAAAGAAGCACATTAGAGGCAAGCTGCTTCGATGGGCATTGAAGCTGATGCCCTACCGTTACATCATCGAGCAGGTCGACGGTGTAGCAAATGTGTGGGCAGATATGCTCTCTCGGTGGGCAGGGCAATCGATGACTACAGTGAAACGGAAGCGATTTACCAAGAAGAGAGGCAAGAAGCAGAAGACTCCGACCAAGCTACGTACAAGACAGATTCTCCGACTCCTGGACGACGACGAATTCGTCTGGCCATCACTGGACGAGATCCGAAGCGTCCAGCGACAGCACCAAGCACCTGTGGGGTCGACGCAAGATACAGACAAGGTTCTCAGAGTTGACCAGAGGATCTGGATTCCTAAAGCGTGTACTGAGCTCACACAGCGAGTCTGTATCATTGCTCACTGCGGACCCCAGGGTCACCGGGGGGAACAAGCAATGGCTACTCACCTACGACGGGTGTTCCACATACCAAACCTCAGAGGTGTCGTACACGCTTTCGTAGCGACCTGTCTACTGTGTCCACACATCAAAGGTAGCCAAATCGTTCACCAGCCATGGAGCGAGACGATTGAGTGTGATGAACGGAACGGAGTCCTCCATTGGGATTTCCTGTCCATGGGCGAATCGTTTGGTGCTTGTAAATATCTGCTAGTACTAAAAGACCATGCCACACATTTCTGTGAGCTGGTGGTCTGTGATTCAGCCGACAGTGCTGTAACGACAGCCGCTCTGCTGGACTGGCACAGCCGTTTCGGTATACCTCCCAAATGGGTCATAGTCATTTTAAAAACGAAGTCGTGGCCGAGCTCTCCAAGAGACTCAAGAGTCAGGAGACTTTTACCCTGGCTTACAGTCCATGGATCAACGGATCAGTAGAGCGCGTCAATCGCGATATCCTACAGGTCTTCCGTGCAATGATCCTTGA